TTGTCTAAGCTAAAGAATGTGCCAAAACTGGTATTGTGTTTTATAGAGACACTATTTTAGACTTTTTCATAGAATTTCCTGTTGATTGTTGAATCTTAGTTGAGAAGGATATTGTTATAGGAATAAAATAATTCTAGCTCTAACCAGTTGTCTTTTAGTCGATGAAAAATGAGAAAATATCTTGTGGAAAGACTTTATCGTCATTGTTTAGATTGTTTTAATAAGAGAATAATATTCTATTAATGGAAAAATAAAATAATTTTCCATTTAATGATTAATTGAATAAATGTCATTTGAAATAATCATATATGATAATTATTTAAATGAAATTTTCCATATGAGATATGTCAAATATGTGTTATGTATTCAACTATTTATTAACAAGACTTTTTTCATCTTTTTTTTTCTCTCTATTTATATTTCTATGGATATTTTGAAATATTTTTCAAGAAAATAAATCTAAATCTAAAGATGTATCTTCTTCAATATAAATTCTTATTTATAATTAAAGAAAATTTAGAGATTAAAAAAAAAAGAGGATTTTTTGAATTCGATGAGGAAAAGTCGTTTTTTTATGATAATGATGTTTATGATAGAAAACAAAAAACAAGAATCTAATGATGAATATGAAATGATATAGTTAACGCCATAAGAGGATTCGATTTCAAATTAAAGAAAAAAGAAAAAACACATCAAAGAAGTATTTTGTTGAAAAGATTCAGTCGAACAAATGATTCTGATAAATATATGTAATTGAGAGCAAATTGATATATATTTATCAAAAGAAAGAACAAATGTTGCTCGTTTATAATTTGGTTGTTAATAAATATGTTTATTTATAATTGACAATGAATCAGTTCGAAAATTTCTCAATTAAAATATATTTATTTATTTAACATGTTTTTTTGTTGTTCTATATTAAAAAAAGAAATTTATCTATAATTCGTTCAATTAAGAATTTAAAAATAAAGCAATTGAGAAATATTTCTATTGTAGTTCTATGAGGTTAATGTTTTATTTGGATGGTTAATTAAAAAAAAATTTAAATATAAATAAAGATAAGAAAAATAAAACCTTTAAATAATCTTTTCAAAAAATTTTCATATTAAATAAAATATTTGAAAAAAAAAAGTATATTTAGTTAGTTTGAAGGTTGTTTAAATAATGAAATGTATTTTATTTGAATTAATATTGTTGATAAGTTGATGTTGTCTCTATTGAAAAAAAATGATTTATATAGATTTGTGTGATTTATCAACATAATATCAAATGATATTCAATCGAAAATGTTTATTTAATATTTGTTTCTAATCTATTTCTTCTTTGAAACGATTCCTCCTAGAGTTCTCAATGATGTTTTATACGTGTATATCTCTTCAATATATCTAACTACTCAAGGGAATATCATTGTTAATCATTGTCAGAATATCTATGTAGAAAAAAAAGCTTTTTATCATGTAGAATCATAGATAATTGTCATAAAAGAAAGAACATCATTGCTTTTTCATAATAATGTCTCTTCTCCCTATGTGACTATAGTAGACATGCGCTTCCAACTTCGTCAATACTTTCATTTTTTACCAGAACACAAAAAAACATCGTTCTTAATATTGAAAAAAAAATATTTCGCATCTATCATATATAGAATATAGTATTTACCTATGAGAATATGTTTATTATGGTTGATTAGATATTATTTGTTGGTGAGATGGATAATGCGCTTATGTCTTTTATCAATTCTTCTAAGAATTTATTTAGGTAAAATGTAACATATAAAAAATTCAATATTTAATCTATTTTAATATTAATAATAATAGTTTTGTTACATGACACACATTAATATATAATGAACTTCCTCATTCGATTAACTTTTTTTAATAGGAAAACATAAATCAGTGAGGATGTCTGTCCTACATCAATATTAAGTATTCTTCACTTTTTTCTGTTTCTTTTCATTTTCTTTTTTTTTTTTGAGAGAGAAAAATCTTCTTTCTTTATCAATTTATAAATAAGAGAACATCTCAATGTAACAAGATCTTTGTAGATTCGAAATCAAAGAAAGTATATTATATATATATATATTCTTTTTTTTCTTCTTGTCTAATTACGCAGTCGATAGAGTTGATGTCAACTTTGTTGTTGTCTGCTTTTTTTTTCTCTTCATATTTACAGACAAACATGAGATTTAATTATTAGTCTTGTTTTTGTCAGTTCTTCTCGTATTTTTTTCGACATACATGTTTATATATACAAACAAAAATTGTTGTTAACAATAGCAACTAGATCGAACTGATGATAGAATGATCGAAAGACTATTGTTCTTTATTCTAGAGAAAAACAAAGATATCGGAACTGGTGCCACTATAACTGACATGTTTTTCTTATTTCATCTGATGGCATTAGCGTTAAATTCCTTTTTTTTCCATGAGTGCAGTTGCGCATTAAATGACATCCTTTTCTTTTTTTAACGATTAATAATACCAAGATACTGTCTATAGTCATTAGTCGAGGTTTTTTCAAAGTAACTATCATAAACATATACTTTTTTTTTAAAGTCATTTTTATTAATTAAAAAATATGATCTAACGAGAAGATACACAAGTCGAACATTGACAGAGTCAGACTAAATAACAAAGAATATCATTTACTCTTATCAATTATAATAACATCAAGCAATCATTTATTTAGGAATCATAAATAAACACTTCTTTCATCATCTTTCGCCATTTATCGCTAATCAAAGTATATTTATGTTTGAAGTTTATCAAACGAAATAAAACAATATGAGTAACAATAAAATAAAAGAGAAAGAAAGACCGAAATTCATAGATGAAGAGAAAATGACTCGTGATTCTATGAATAGTCGCGTTTTCTCTCTTCTGTTCGCGAGCGAAAAAGAAAGGAAATAGCGCGCATTCGGCATAGACTCTGTGTTTTTTTAACAAAGACCGACACGCACATTGTCCTATCTATATTATAATTTACACATTAACATATCGAAATAATTTTTTATTTAGAAAAATTGGTTTGAAGATAACAATAACAAAATCGAATTAATATTAAACTGAAAAAAAAATGAATTGCGCAATAGAATTACAAAGAAATAATTATTCTGCTAAAATATTAAATCAAGCTATGGATGATGATGCAGGTTCATGGTGGTGGTGGACTAATGTTATTGGTAAGAATATTTTATCACTTTTCTTTATATTATAGAATACATTTAACTATGTCAGATCTGGTTTATTTCATAGATATACAATAAATAATCTGTCAATATAATGACACTCGCTTGATTTATTTTCGAATAAAAAATATTCTTTATTCAAAAATAAAATAAAATATAATAAAAAAAACTCTTTTTCAGCAAAAACAAAACATCGAGATTATTAAATTTTATTTTTAAAAAGAAAATAATCCTAAATTATTAATTTTTATTAAAAAAAAAATCATTCTAAAAAAGTCATAGAGAAAAGTCTTTTGAGTAAATAACATTTTTATTTGATTTGGTATTATCGGAAAAAAATATCATTATATTCTCTACTGATCGAACTAATAAGAAAATATTTTTTATTAAATGATACTTAATGATCTTTCTTTTTTGGAAAAATCTTGTGTATGTTTTTTTATCCTTAATGAAATATAATTATTTAAATGATATATATTTGAAAATATTTCTAAATAAAAAATTGTAAAATAGGTACATTGTTATTTGGTTCAATTGGTATAATTGGTAATATAATATGTTTTTTGGTTGTTTGTCGTTTTTCTAAACAACACCATTCATTTGTTGAATATCTTCGATCATTAGCTATATTTGATTTTTTATCTTTATTATTCGAATGTATTCAATCATTACATGATTTATTTCTTTATTTATTTTCAATAAATTTATTAAATTTTCGTTCATCAATTCTTTGTAAATTTTATGAATATTCAAATCATGTAATAATATTACTTGCTTGTTGGACAATAGTTGGATTAACATTTGATCGTTTAATACTTGTTTGTGATCCATGGGCAAAAAAATGGCCAAATCTTTCTCGTCGTATTTGTAATTCAAAATGTGCAAAAGGAATAATATTATCTCTTATTATATTATCATTAATAATAAATATTCCTCATATATTATATCAAGAATGGATTTGTCGAAATCCTGGTTATCAATATAGTGCTGCTTTTATTGGAAAATTATATTTAAATCAAACACAACTAAATCAAACATCAAAACGTCTTATTTGTCAATGTCGAATATCTCCACATTTAAGTCGTTTTAAACAATTATTATATATAAGATGGAAAATATATGTATTGCATCTATTATGTTATACATTAATACCAGCTATTATATTAATTGCAAGTAATACAGGTTAGATATATAGAATTTATTGCGTTTTTTTTCGAATTAATTCTTTTATTATTTTGTTTTGTTATATAAAAAAGCAATATAAAAACTTGTTCATAGTCGTCGTTATGTTGTTGGACAAAAAAATGGACATCTTTGATCAAAATTAACTCGTACATTAACATTAGTATCAATTATATTTTTAGTTCTTTATTTTCCTCATGCAATTGTTCAAACATTATCAATATTAATATTTCCGAATTATCATAGACATTGTCATATACGTTCATTAATTAGAATTCGAATATTAAAACGTTTAAGTGAATTATTAAATATAGCTGCATTAGGTATTAATTTTTTCTTATATATATTAGGTATTAAACATTATCGTTCATCAGCAATACAAATGTTAGGTTTACATCATTTTAGTGTATTTTTACCATATTTAACTGTTGAACATAGAAATTCAATTGGATCAAATCTATGTACTTCAAGGAAATTTATTCGAACAAATCCTCAAATTAATAATTCAACTATTAAATTATTAAAAATTCAAAATAATAAAAATAATATTAGTAAAACTGAAAATTTATGATTACATAATAAACGTAACAACATGATTTAGTATTCGAAGGTTTTTTTTCTGTGATATTATCTTTATATGAAATTAATATTCAATTATTTCCATCAACCAAACAGTTTTTTTTCGGAAATTTAAAGAAAAAAAAATAATAGATTCATTTTTACATATGAAAGAAGAAAAAAAACTATGTTTGAAGATTAGAAAAAACTTCAATGAATCAATCAAGATCGATATAGAACTAAATAACAATAAGAAAAAAAAACACTCGTAATAATTGTTTGATTAATATTGATTATTGAAATTTATTTATTTATTTAAATAAATATTCAAATATAAAAAATATTGAAAATTATTTTTTTTGAAGTAAATTATTTATATGAAAATCTTCATTTTCTTATTCTTGAATTGAATTGTTTTTTGTTCTTTCTGTCTTAGCTCGTTCTCGTCTTTCTAAAAAAAAAATATATATTTCTCATGTGACATTATCATTTATTTAATAATATGTTATGATAAAATTGTCAACAAAATATAAATGAAACAAGGATCGATATGTCTTATTCATTAATCTTTCATTTCATTATGTCCAATTCAATAAATAAATAATATATTATTTAAAGTTAATAGATCGATATAGGATCGTCTTCTATTCATTAATTAATCTACATATCAATATTTACTTTTCGACAGAAGATCAATTATATACAATTTAATTTATATAACAAACTTATTTGATTAAATCTATAAATACATATTTAGATTTTTTCTGATATAATAAACAATTTCAAAAAAAAAATTCTTCTCTTTATCTACTTAACAATAGATATAACTATCTAATTCAGAATTGCAAATGGTAACTGTAAATAATCAATTGGAGTCGGTTCGGATAGACACAAGACTTTGCATTATCGTGATCAGTAAATAATCTTTTTAGAATAGTTTGCATAGTTTTTCCAAAAAATCGATCATAGATAAAACACTAATTACTGATGTTGAGCATTATTTTTATTCGGGAAATATATATCAAACTATTTCTATTAAGTTTTATTAATCAAATAAAATTAAACAATAAATTCGTTTTTAATTAATCATATTTTTTTATCATTGATAGGATCTACATACATTGCCTTGATATTCGAGATAATAAAGACAATATAACATTGAAAATAAAGTTATGCTATAGTTAATTAATAATGTTTATTTCTGATGAAGATTTAAAAAGTGTAAAAAAAAAACCTAATATAGAATTGCATTGTCTAATAATATACTCTCTTGATTGATAGATACCAAAAACAAGAAAATCATTTATATAAATAGTAAAAAATCCTAAACATGATGAAAGAAGACTCGTATATTACTCATAATTGTAATAGTTAAAGAGTAAATAGGATTTATCGAGAAATTGATTTGACTATTTCATCGTGAAAAAAAGGGGATAATGTTTCATGCGGATGTATCATTGGCCTGATAGTTTAGACTGATAATGGAACGGAAAGAAAGCCCTACCGATTATAATTATGTGTTGTTCCTTCCTTTTCTGAGTATTGCCAAAGGTATCTATGAAATATAATACTCTTATGATGAAAGATAAAATCTTATTTATGTCAATATGGATTTTCCAACCTTTTTCGAACTTTATTATATAATAATATTTTTTAGTAAAAGATTCTCTAATTATTCATGCGAAATAAATTAATAATGGATTATTTATCGACTAAGATATGCATCCAACCATTAATATGTCAAATTCTTTTTTTTTTTTGTTTTTTGTTACAAAGTCTCAGAATGCATTTCAGGAAGATTTACCTTTATTCGTCACCTTCATCTGTAAGATTTAGATGGTATTTCTACCAATGTTACTTTGTTAACATGAATATCAGTTGATGCTTTTTCTTTTTCTGTAAATATTGATATATGGTATTTTTTGATAGTGATTAATGAATGATGATAATTATTCTCTTTGATAATAATTTATGCGACGAAATATTTTATTAAATCTATTCAATTTTCAAAATGATATATGAACATTTGTCAACAATTTTTTTTTGGCAAACGGCGATCAGACATAGACCATAGCTTCTTTTTTTTCTGTTCTCCTAGTTTTATTTAGTTTATTTGAAATGAGAGGTGTTGAATTTATTATAAAAAGGGAAAATTTCTTCGAACAGAAAACTGACTCGAAGAATTTTCACCGAGTAAACAGTTTTGAATAAATATTCGTAGAGAATTATTTCCAAAACAGTTTCTTTGAATAGAATATTTTTTCGAAAATTCCTCCACACTAAGAAATATTTGTCAACCTACGCAAAAAACATTTTGAGTAAAATCGTGGTATACCCAATAATGATCCCATTATTGTGTATCATGGTCCAAAAACAACTGAGTCGTACCATGTCGTACTGCGGTTACATATTTCTTTCACTACATATTGAAGTACAAGAAAATGTGTAAGGATAAGAAGGATGTCGTACCCACTATTTCTATGAAAGTTTTGAATATTTAGATAATCAAGTTGATACTGCAAAGTCAATCTGTGAAAATTGGGCTTGAAAAAGTTCACTACATCGTCCCTCGAAGAGCAATTTTCCTGGATTTCGATAGAAGTTCAGATAAGCTTTTGGATCTCTAGCCCGATCTAGTCGCTCTGATACAACTGGAAAAAGCATGTCTTAAGAAAATTACTGAAGTCAGACGATTTATTCGGCTTTTCAAAGCCGAATAAATCGTCTGACTCCCGCGACTTAAAAAACCGTTGAAAACCGAAGTTTGATATACCGCGGTTTTTTCGCAATTCTTTTCCGCGGGCGTTCTACCGCGATAGTGGCAGTAAATGTATCACATGGGTTATCAATAGGAGTTAAATTGAATCTTTAACATAATTCAATGGTAGTCATAATGGTCTGATGTCTGACAATTTAATTTGAAGATATCTGCAAAAATATTACATTGATTACAAACGATTGATTATTTATTGTAATCAGAGCAGATAGAATACGATAATAAATAAGTTGTTTTATAAAATCAATATTTCGAAGTTTTGTTATCTAGTTGAGAATAGTGAGCATGATTGGAGTGTTGCAGTAATGAATGCATTGAAAGGTGCTTTAGCGTCGTAAATTTTAGCTATAACGATTGACTATTTAAGAATTGCTAAAGTAGCATGCATAAAACAAGTCATTGATGCGATTAATAATGATGAGAATCTAAGTTCATTTAACATATAACCTATCGTATTTCTCTGATTTCTAACCTGAAGAAAATCAAATTTTTGA